TTTATATATATATAAAAGGTTCCACAACGAGAAACCACAAGAACGGCTCAAGTCCAGTGTGGATCGTGTCAACGAGTTCTGACAGTGCAGATGACTGCGATGAGTAATACGATGGTGTTTCGACCGATTTGAAGGATTTACGGTATGGGAATGCTACTTATTGTTGGAGAGAAGTGAAATTTTTTAATAGTAAAAATTCTTATTTCGAAATTATTATTTGGGTATTTTTTAGTCTTCCAAATTTTTACGATATTTGATGTTGTAGATATTTTTAAAATATGTGTTCGCTTTCCTCAGCTGCTGAGCTCGAAAGTTTACTCACTAGAAATAGGAGTTTATATACGAGCCGGGGAAATATATAGGAAACGTGTAGGGAAACTAACAAGAATTTTTCTCGTATGTCATCGGATTTTGTATATTCAATAGCATATTAATGGAGTTTCTTCACTCTAGTAGTGGTATGAAAAAACAGCAGTGAAAAACATATTTCACGACTACTGCATATCACTGCGAATATCGCGTTTTCCACTTGACACGTAAAACGGGTAATCGTGAAACTTTAAAAAAACATTTTTTTCGTATTTTAATATATATAAAACCTGTTGTTGTACAAGTAAATTCAAATATATGAGTTTCCATATTGTCACCACCAACACATGTGGTTGACTATGTGCATATTCCCCACCATACTGGTGATGCATTTCGTTATTCATTGTGAACATAAGTGAGAGTATTTTGTCAGCAAATGCGAATTCTCATACGCTCATATTTACTCTCATTGTGGTCTACACCTTTTTTGAGGAATTGGCAGAATTTTTCTTCATAAAAAAACGGTATATTTCTTTTTTAGTGCATAGCGTTGAGTTAATGGTAGTAGTTGTTTTTGTTTGAAAAATGCTGATATGGTCGTAGTTTATCTATGAATTTTGGAGACTTGGTCCGTTTCGAGTTGGCAATATTTGAAATATTTCGTGTGTTCGCTTTTGAAATAAGAAGTTGCTCGAGTGCATGCCGCTCAGTTTTTTGTTTTTTTTCGGAAAATTTAACGAAATTCTCACCCGTTTTACATGAAAAATTCCGATATTCGCGGTGATATGCAGTAAGATATGTTTTTTTCACCAGTGTTTTTCATATCACTTTCACTAGGGTGAGTTATTTTTGTTTTTAGGAGATCTGTCGGTCACCGCTCGAGCGACTTGTCCACATTGTCAGATGTTAAACGAATTTATGATACCACCTGAACCTGTAATATTAAATTGGACAGTATTGTAGTATTGGAAATATATTTATTTATTATTTAGTACTCATGAGAATATATGTTTGCTTTCCTCAACTGAGATCGTAAATTTTCTCCCTATTTTATGAAAAATTTACAAGGTTTGGGTAGGAATATACCTAAAAAATTTACTCTCAAAATTTTCATACACATGTAGTTGACCATGTGCATATATTCCCCCCACCACAGTGGTTGGAATATGTATTCGCTTTCCTCATCTGAGTTTGCTGAATAACAGTCAGGAATTCTTACGGGAAACTCTTCGGAATTTTTATACTATTCGTACGTTTTTTGGTGACAATCTGGAAATTTTGGGAAATTCTTGTTGGTTTTTGTAAATTCGTATGTGAGTTTTTGAGCTGAGGAGAGCGAGCATCTATTCCTCCATAGTTTTACATATCAGTTCTTTTTTTTCAGCACTATGTCTGTGGACTCAGTTGCTCCGAAATTAGCGGCAAAAATGCGAAAACAAATTCTCATGTATAATGGAGTTTCTTGACCCTAGTGATATGAAAAACATTTTTCACGACTACTGCATATCACCGCGTTGAATATCGCGTTTTTCACCGAGTTTTACGACGCCACTTCACGTAAAACGGGTTGTGAAACTCCAACATATGTATAAATTCTACCAGCACTATGAATATATCGTGCAGTGTGAGAGGAAATATGCACATGTTCAACCACATATGAAAATTCTGAAGAAATTTTTTGGAATTTCTCATCGGTATGTGTGGAGTTTTATGATAATTTATATATAAAATTGTATATTTCGTGAGAAAAGCGATCATATATTCCTCTAATGATGACAATTTTATTGGAGTTTCTTCACCACACTAGTGATATGAAAAACATATTTCACGACTACTGCATATCACCGCGTTGAATATTGCACGTAAGAAGGATTGCTAAACTCTATTATATAGATTCCCACGGCAACACCAATATCGGATGGACTACCGCAACAAGCGCCCCCTCCTAGTATGCAGGCTCAAGCGATGTATGGTTTACCGAGCAGCATGCAAATGCAGAAAACTAATCAGGTTGGAATTGCACCACCTTCACTGACGGGTAAAACTAGCTGTATATAATTGGTGTATAAACATATTTCATATTTGAAAAGCAAGTGAGCAGTGAATAACGCGTAAAACACTTTGTATGTGTTTTTGCGGGATTTTTTCCGTGTAATTCGCCACTTCATATCGCGTTTTTCACATGGAGTATTACGACGCCACTTCACGTAGTAAAACGGATAGTCGTGAAACTTCACTTGATTTTTTACAAGATTTTTGTTTTTTTCCTCTCAGGTGTACAAAGAGCGTTGCTGATTGGTATCAACTACTACAATACTCCGGCACAATTATCGGGGTGCATTCCCGATGTAAGATTTGGTTGTTATTAATGATAACTACCGCCGAAAAATAGATTTTCAAAAAGTTTTCATAGTATGCATTTTCGTATAGTGCGTGCGTGCAGAATTATCCTTGCTCAACTACGGATCAAACGACTGTTGGCGCAAAATGTCGATTTCAGAGCGGCTCGAAGAGATATATATGCATGAAAACATTGTTGATGGAAAAATGTCCAACCCGGGGATCGAACCGGGCTGGACATATGTGAAATCCATTGATTGAATCAACGCGGACTGGGCGAGCCGTTTTACGACGTGAAGTGGCGTAATACTCCATGTGAAAAATGAGATATTCGCGATGATATGCAGTAGTCGTGAAATAAGTTTTTTTCATATCACTAGGGTGAAGATACTCTAATGTATGTATATTTATTGAGTATTTAGGCTCACAACATGTTTCGGTTGCTCACTGAAACGTATAGATGGAATCCTGGTGATATACGTATGATGACGGATGATGGACGCGCTGAGATGCCAACAAGTAGGAAGGGAAAATATTGGCGTTTTCACAGATTTTCGTGGAAAAATGTGAAAATTGTGAGAAAATTTGGGAAAATTTCGGCTTTTTACAGATTTTTGTGGGAAAATTGCGAAGCGAGCGGAGGGGCATATACCGCAACAACAGACACTTTCGCGTTGTGCGTGCGTGCAGAATTATTCTGGCTAAACTACGAAGTATAGGAGGCTATCAGATGGATCAAACGACTCCTCTATATGCGGAGGTGTTGGGAAAAATCGGAAAACTCGATGCACGAAAAACTTCAATGATGGAGAAATGTCCTTCCCGGGGATCGAACCGGGCTGGACCTATGTAAAATTCATTGACTGAGTCCATGGACGTGGACTCAGTGAGCTCCGCCCCTTTGTCACGAAGGCCTAGTGTGAAAATTATGAGGAAATTTGGGAAAATTACGGAATTTTACAGATTTGTGTGGGAAAAAGAATGTGAAAATTGTGAGGATATTTGGGGAAATTTCGGTTTTTTTTTCAGATTTTTGTGGGAAAATATTTATCATTTAAGAAAAACGTCAATAGATTTCCATTGGTTTCGGTACACTATTACGTGAATTCGTATGTAAACTTGTATAGTGCGTGAGAAAATGAAATATAAATTCCAAAGTGAATTTATTTTCGAAGTTTTCACCCGTATTATGAAAAACGCATGTTTTTAGCAGTGAATATCAGCGATGTTGGCTGGTTCGCCTGGTGTAATTCTAGCATTTTCAAGGGTGCGTTTTTCACGTGGAGTATTACACCACTTCACGTGAAACGAGTTAAACTCGAGCGATTTGTATCATATTCAGGAGCGAATATAATAGGAGCTTTGCATTGGTTGGTGAGGGATGCTAAGCCTGGGGATGTATTCTTCTTTCATTATTCTGGTCATGGATCACAACAGGTAGGGTCTATGGGGATCTTGTTACTAGTGTTGTTGTTAGTGTTGTTGTTAGTCTTGTCGTTCGTGGTGTTGTTGTATATGTTGTATATGTTGTATATGTTGTTGTTGTTGTTGTTGTTGTTGTTGTTGTTGTTGTTGTTGTTGTTGTTGTTGTTGTTGTTGTTGTTGTTGTTGTTGTTGTATATGTTGTTGTTGTTGTATATGTATATGTTGTTGTTGTATATGTTGTTGTTGTTGTCTATGTTGTTGTTGTATATGTTGTTGTTGTATATGTTGTTGTTGTATATGTTGTTGTTGTTGTATATGTTGTTGTTGTTGTTGTTGTTGTATATGTTGTATATGTTGTATATGTTGTTGTTGTTGTTGAACTACTCTCTAATTCTTCAGCCGGATCCCTATGGCATGGAGGAGGACGGAATGAACGAAACCATACTACCCTGTGATGTGAGTTAACACACATACCATAAAAGTGATATAGAATTAAAATACAATTCCGCTGCCAGGTCCGTAGAGCCGGTATGATTTCTGATGATGAGATTTTCTCAATTCTGGTGGCACCCCTCCCCAGTGGTGTGAGATTGACAAGCGTTATGGATTGCTGTCATTCGGGAACAGGTATGGATGGTGTACAATGCAATCGATTACTCGGGCGCGCGCTAATTGCAACAATGATGTTGATATGAATACTTCTGTTTTGGCTAAATATAATCGTGCGTGAAATATTCACATTCTCATATTTCTTCTACAGTTCTCAATGATATGAAGTTCCGCCGTACTAAGTCGTTCCGCGGGTAACGCGCAAGTCGCGCTCGCCCAGTTGATCGATTATTATCGAAATCGCGCCCGCCACGAAATTCGCCTGCGGAAAATCAGCGGCAGACTGAGTCTGCTGGACTCGAACAGATAGGACCTTCCGAAAAGGTTCCTAGCGAAGACCATTCTTCGTGTTGTTAATATCTTCCCCATATTGACAATGTGCATAGCATTATATATAATCGTTCACGTGGAGTTGTGTCGACTCGTGCATGAGTTTGGGTTTTTATATACTCTTGAAGGCTTCGGGCTACTTGAAGTTTAGTACGAGGAGTGTATTCGAGTTTTACGTGAAGTGGCGTAATACTTAATGTGAAAAACGCGTTATTCGCGGTGAGATGAAGTGAATTACATCGGACAAATGACCTCATTTTACGTAAAACGCTGGCAGCATTCCACGTGTTTTACGCGTTGTTAATTGCTCACATGCGTTTTCTGCGAAGTGAAATGTAAAATAATTTTTCTCATTAGTGTTTTTACATCACGGGTGAAACTCCATTGTAAAGAGTTAAGGCGATTATGCTGGTGTGAAAATTGAAGAATATGTGAATTTTTCACGCACGATTATGTGGTTGTTGCTGTTGTTGTAGGTATGGATTTACCCTGGCGATGGATCGAACGTAGAGGATGGAAAGAGGAGACAAACCCGTGGCATTCACTAGGCGATGTAAGCATGATTTTGCACATCGTGAAACGCTTCGCTCCGCTAAGCTGGGATGTTCTTATGATTTTTATAGGCGCTCCTGGGAGTGTATTCGAAATTCGTCCTCACTCATAACAGGAGTATCTTTAGTGTGTATGCGTGCAAATTGGAGGTGTTTAGGTTCAATTGTTTAGTGGTTGCGATGATTCGGGTACTTCAGCAGATGCGAGTGGTGGAAATATAAACGGCGGAGCGATGACGAGCGCATTTTGTGAGTTCGCGTTGGAGGAATATATATGGTCGCATTCCTCAACAGCTGAGCTTAGGAGTATATATACGAAGTGCACAGAAAACTACAATGGAGTTTCTTGACCATCCTAGTGATATGAAAAACACTAGTGAAAAACATATTTCACGACTACTGCATATCACCGCGAATAAAATCGCGTTTTTCAGCCACTTCACGTAAAACGGGT